ACATCTATTTTCTGCCATGTTCCAAGCCATCATTTTGGGTATATTCATTTCATACTCAAAAGGGGACCCAAATAGTCTGTACAACATAATGGACCAGAACTAGCACATGTTGAGGATTTTTGCATAATAAGTATGAATCCACTTGTGTGGATGAACAGAACCCAGGCTTGTATAAAACAATGGACAAACATTTGGCATAGGTTCTCAAGGAAATGTGAAACTGAGGGTTTGTAGCTAATGTAGTTCGCTACCCCAATTTTTCTACCAAATGTTTAAAGTCAATAATTATTTAAAATGTGATCTTACAGGAAAAGGATTAAAGTGACAGTCATTCCCATGCAACATATCACATCCCCACTCTAATTAAGCACAGAAACCCACTTTAAAGTTACTGAAACCAGAGTACATACCAGGAAAGCTTTGGAAGAAAACAAATCCTAGACACTTTAGGGCAGAAGAAGCTGATTAACTAAATCTTAAATATAAATAGAGATAAGCAGTACTTAGTATTCATATACTATGCTAACATGCTTCGAATGCTCTACTGGCTGCCCATCCATTTCCGCAATGAATTCAAAGTGTTAATGCTTACATATAAGACCCTAAACAGTTTAGGACCCCAATACGTGGCGGAACACCTGCTCCCACCTAGATCTACTGGGATCACCCGTACAAGCCAGGAGGTGAGGCTGAGGAGCTTAACACCGAGGGAGGACCGGAAGGAAAGGACACGAAACCGGGCCTTCTCGGCAGTGGCTCCTGGCCTCTGGAATAACCTTCCTCTGGTTATTCGTGCGGCCCCTACGCTGGGCACTTTTAAGAGTCAACTAAAAACATGGTTGTATGTTCAGGCCTTCCCTCCTGTCAATATTTAATTCTTTCTTTCTTTTTTCTTTCATTTATTATTTGTTTTATTATTGTGTTATGAACTGTTTGTAAAATTCTTATGTTTTCGTATACACCTTATTGGAAGCTGCCCAGAGTGGTCGACCAGACCAGATGGGCGGGCTATAAATCAAATACATAAATTAAATAAATAAATACTTCAATGGTTCTCAACTGTGGTTCCCCAGATGTTCTTAGACTACAACTCCGAGAAATCTGGGCCAGCACTTCTGGGAATTTTAGTCCGTCTGGGGACCCAAGGCTGGGAATCATTGCTCTACTTGATAAATTTGTGCAAGAGTTTGTTTTCCAGTGGACCCTCGACTTATGGAATTAATCCATATTGGAATGGTGGCTGCAGGTTGAAAAGTCTGTAGGTCGAGGCTCCATTGATCTACAATGCATTGAAAACCGATTAATCCGTAACCAGTTGTTTTTGTTCCATTTTGGTTTTTTTCCCAGTCTGTAGATGGATTCTCCGGCTGCAAGTCAAACCTAAATTTTGTGGCCGGAGAAGTCTGTAATTCGAAAAGTCTGTAAATAGAGCCATCTGCAAATCTAGGGTCCACTGTACATATCAAGTAAAACTGTTACGTAGTTTTAAGGGATTTTTTTCCTCATGATCATACATCATTCATGGACTAAGTACACAAACAAAAATTGTTGATAACATATAATTATTTTAAACCTACGCTTGCAGCTTCTCCTGCAATAAAGAGGTTTTGGCCCTTGAAAGAGTTTGGTTATTTTATTATACAAACATACGTAATAAGCATTTTCCACCTTTTCAGATGCTTCTACTGCATATTCATGAGCTGTTCCTTTTTAAAAAAATCATTATCCAAATTCTACTGCACTAGGCTGTAGCCTCACCCACCAAATGAAGCTCCCAACTATAGTGCCGGATTAAAAGATGCCTTGCTCTACACTTAAGTTTACTTTCTATGTTCACTCTGAAATTAAACATTGAAAGGTCACAATTTTTAGGCTGCACCCTTTTAAAAGATCTTTGCCAATGTGGTTAGTATCACTGGGGAGAGTGTAGAGAACAGAATGATGGAAGTTCCAAGACCTAGAAACCACATACCTATGAACAATTGGATGTTACCTTTAAAGTCACATACAGGGTTGCCAATTCTGACCAATCAACTGAAGAACAGAAGTATCAGTTGAAGACTGCAATATTAAGCATACTTAGTGGGAACAAGTTCCATTCAGCTCAGTGCCAAAATCCTATTGAAGGAAAACTGCACATGTAATGGAAATTGTATGTGTGGTTTCTCCTTCTGGCTTTTCATGACATGGCTGGGTCCAGCATTATCTATTTAGCAAACAGATGCAGGATTGTATGACAGCAGGCTAGCTGAAGAGGTAAACTGCTGGCATGATTGACCTTATGTAACTCTGGCTAATGTTATTTTCAAAAAGACATAAGTAAAGGACCTACTTTTCCATAATATGGTAAACTTGTGGCTGGATTGTACTACTTCTGATTTCAGATGGGGTTTTATATGTTTGACTGTTTTCACATTTAAGAGCTTGTCTTTTCATTAATGGCTAACTTTCTATGTATAAGGAATATTAAAAAGACAGCTATTTTGGTATTTTTACTATATGAGGTTAGACACACTTAAGATATTATTTATTAATGTATTAATTGCCAAACTTATAAATTTGTGTCTTGTTTATTATTATCCCTTAAAACAAAATTAAATTTTTAAAAGGAGCTTTAATTTTGCCTCTCTGGTATCCAATACAGATCACACACTCTATCTCCCCATAAAAGATCCAACAAGTACTTAAACTATATTACAGTTTTCTGCTTACTATAAGTTAAGGTTATAGTGTAGTAGATAGTGATGAACAAGAAGGTCTAGGTTGAAATCCCTGTTGAGCCATGGAAGCTCACTGGAGGTAAGGAACTAGTAAAACCACTCCTTAACTATCCCATTTACTTTTAAATCCCTACTAGGGTTGCTGTAAGCCGCTAATAACTTGACAGCACATAGCAAGGTTACCCAGAACTGCTAACTATGGTCCTCAGACCCAAGACAGTATAAGAAGAGTCTTTTGCAAAAGCAGCCCCTAGCCATTTCAAATTAACAACTTCTAATTCATCTTGAAATATAAAAACACTTTAATATCAGATTGACTCAACACTGATATAACCAAAAGATACACACATTTGATTCTAACTGTTCCATTTATAAGATTAAGGAAAAATACAACAAAACATAACTTTTTATTGGTACCAAATAATTCTGTTAGATACTAGTATTTTTCAAATTGTGCTTTCGCATGAATAGTAAAATATGTACCACAGCACTTTTTCTACTGAACCATTCTCCACATTTCATAAGTTTTTATTTCAATTTACAGTAGAACCCCTCTGTATCTGCTGGATCAATACCCACTGATTCACTAATCCATGGGCTGAAAATATTAAAGATATTAAATGAAAATACCAATAAATATGAATTTTCACAATGTAATTATCAGACCGACCACCAGATGGAACCAAATACTATACTATATAGCAGTGGTGGCAAACTTTTTTGGGCTCACATGCCCAAACTGGGGGGAGGGAAGGAATAGTGGAGAGTGTGGAACCGGAAGTGGTGGTGGCGGTGGCAGAAGGGGGAATCCCGGCATGGAGTTGCTTCAAGACTCCACTCCAGATCCGCTGCCAACACCATGGTCTTGTATGCACACGCACTTGATGAAGCCCTTGCAGGGGTGTTGTTCTCCTCCACCTTCTGCCTGCCTCCAGCGCCGCCCCCTTTTTCTCTCCAGCCCCACCTGGGACTTTGTCCCTTTAAGGGAAGGAGGGGGTGTCCTATGACATTAGAGGGAGGTGGGAGGGGAGATAGAAGGCAAGTTATTTTCTCGTGTTCCTTTGTTTCCATCTGCCGGTGCTTGCAGGATTCAAGGGAAGGCAGCGTCTCCTTACTCCCACCCATCCACCCACCCACCCACCCGATTAAGTCCTAGCCTAGGGCCTTACAGGCGCGTTGGTCTCCCTGCCTCTGGGGATGGGATCTGGGCCCCAGAGATCCTCTCTTTCCTTTGAATTTCCCTCCACCTCCCTCCAGGGGAGACCCATGAAGGTTGAGCACAGCAAACCACAATGGAGCACCATCGGCAATGCCTGGAGAAGCAGCCCCCCCGACACAGGCGGGGAGCTGGCCATCTCAA